GTAAATTAATAACTATTTGTAATTTTTTTATTTTATTTGAAATTTAATGTTTCATTTTATTCTCTTATATTTTTAATATTAATTTTATTTAACGCTTTCACTAATATAATAGAGATATGTGCATAGATTACATTTTCGAAATCTGAAATTTCTAATTTGCGATGGCTATCTGTTACCTGATTTAGCTCCAGATATGTTGCCATAGACCGCAATTTCCTGTTGCACCTTCAGACTTCATTCCCCCAATGCTGTTCTCTCTTGTTCTGTTGTATTCTTGTGCCTGCAGACACGTCGACCCATGCTGATCTTTGCGTGTTAGACAATAGCATTTAGAACTGTTTAGAGCCGACCTCGTCTGAACCATGTCCGTTATGTCTTCACCTTGGCGGGACATCTCCATCACAGTTGAAAGCTTATGGTCAATGACGAATATAACGAACCGGGAAGAACGAACGATTTTATTACGGTATATCTGGTTATCTTCAATGTAACGGTTGCAATTAACATTTAATTTAGTCATTATATAAATCTTTTTATTATGAATTTTTTAATAACAGAATAGAATTATGAATTGATTGATGAATTAAAGAAGAAATTTGCGGCTCGTGATTTGAGCTTCTATCTTTATGTTTTATTAATTTAATTTAAACTTATTTTTACCATAAATCACTATTTATCACTAGGATATCACTATTTTATTTCATATTGTTAAATATATTAATTATTCGGTAAGATAACTCGCTAAATTTCATTCAATTTTCAATTTTTTGCATTTGCATATTTTTTTGAAATCACGACTTTTATTATGTTGATATCATAATAAAAAAAAAAAATTATACAGAATTACACGAGATCGATCGATGTAACCTGAGGCACCATTCCATGCGAAAAATTCTCTAAGGAAATCGTTAAACGCAAAGTGTTTTTAGTATTCGCGAAACAAGCCGATCAATTGCTTGTTCCATGTTAGATAATAACACTTTGAAAAGAGTTGGTTGATCCTCTCTAAAGAGTCCTTTCTAAAGTCTTGATCATGATGGATATTATGAAGAACATACACGTAATGACACGTAGTTGATCATATAAGAAGTAATAATTCCTATCAAGAAGAAGGTTTGATTGATTGCTACACGCATCATTCTCGCAATATTAAGTGCGTCCTGTAATTTGTTATTAATACGTTTATTTAACGCTTCTTGCGATCTGGATAATTGCTGCTTTTTAACTTAAAATTGATCATTTACATGTAAATAATTCTCATTCTTTTCAAATTTTTAAAATTGTTACAATATGATGTGGCAGAAATCATCAGAAATCAATTTGAAAGAGTTGTAGTCAAGCTGTTAACGATAGTGAATATTGTAAAAAGCTCAAGAAGTAGTCAGCAGTCAAACGAGTTCTATTAGAAAACTATTCTGATAGGAAACGACGTACAAAACTGGGACGACCGCAAAGAAAAATCAAATATCAATGAAAAAAAACGTGTATCGCCGATAATAACCGAATCCACGCCTTCATCGCTACGATAGTAAAGAAAAGTGTTGTTTGCCCGATTGAATACCTTATCGAATAATATGTGTGCACGTATTTAATAACATTGTGTAGATAACATTATCTGTGCGTGAAATCGCGACAATCGGCCGCAGAGAAGCGCAAACATTGAAATGGAGCAAAAGTGATATTTCAGTTTTTAATATAAATGTGATCCAAGCAAAAGTTACGAATAATTTAAATTATTGTACTATTAATTTTTTTTTTAATCACATTTTTTTTACATTACGATTTTACAACGATTCGAGAAACAATACAACAATAAATCTAAATGTAGCATAATTTAACACAACTTTCAAGATAGGTTAATTCCAAAAATAGGGGGTCTAATTTCTAACGGATACAATTGGCAGGTACGTGTTATTGCTGATCAGCGCATTATATGTCCAAAGAAGATAGCTGCCTTTTTTGATAGCTAGCCCTTTGCCCTTTTTATTCGGTAAACTGCGCGTTTAACGCGAATCTTTTTCTTACGTATTCCTACGCATTCTTGTTTCCCACAGAGTTGAATCACGCGAATTAAGGGCGCCGCTCCGAGGTACCATCCAAACTACCCCCCCCCCTCCCCCATAATTATATATGTTAATCCCGCGTGATGATTCGTGTAGAGTATTCACGACAAACGTTTGATTCCCGTCGTTACGCGGCCGCGTGTGTTCGACCACGATTATGAATTGCAAATGAGACATGCCAGAGAGTATCAAAATTACGGAAAGGTTTAAAAAAGTCAAATCTAGACCGGACACGCCTTTTTACGTAGTTATAGAGTCGTCATGTAGTCTGTGAATACCTTCAGCGACGTACGATTATCGATAGTAATGAGAATTATCGCGAAGATGAGTCATATGAAAAACCGCTTTTGCCGTCGTGAAACTTGGATGAGACAGAATTATAAGGAAAAAATGTATCACCCATCATTTCTCGAAATAACGCCATTGTACAACGCCACTGCATTACGATAATAAATATTCGGCGATGTATCGTTCCTGGCTTGCATCGTAGATCTTCAGAAGAAATAAATGGAATTCCCTTTTCCCGGCAATGTATGTTTTGTCTTCAAATAATTCGATGCCAAGCTTTGCTGTAAGCAAACATGTAGATTAATGCAATCCTTTTTCAGACAGACTTCGCACTTCGTCGATTTGTCATCACATAAAATATATCGAAAGAAGATGATATATATGTCTCAAAAAAAAAAAAAACAATGTTCTTTTACTGACAGATTCTGTGAAAAATTCTAAGACGAAAATTCTCACGCGAAAATGTTGAGGCAATAATTGTTTTTAAATGGGAAATATTTAAAGTTGACCAATCAGTTTGCGGAAAATTTATTTTACTTGCTCAAACATCGCCCGGTAATGAAAGTGTTTTTATACATTGATTCACTCTTTAGATATTGACATAATTCTGCACAATGATAAAGAAATTACTTTTAAATTTTATTATTTTCTTTAATTTAATATACACAATGATTATTTAATTTAATATAATGATTATTTAATTTAATAATGATTATTTAATTTGATATACATAATACATAATTTTAATGTCAGCATAATAATATTTCGAAATATTAATCAAACTATTAAAACTCACATGAAGTGGCGATGGAGCGAGAAATATAATAATTTTTCTCATATAATTTTTCTCTCTTTCATCAAAGCAGTTTTTTTAATTTGTAAATAGAAAAAGATATAGGTCAATACCTATATTTATTTATAAAATCTACAACAATTATGTTGATTACAATCAATTATATTGTATTAATAATCATACATAAGGAATATTTTAAATTTTACTTTATATTGCCGGACATTGGTTAACTAATACAATGTGTAATACAGGTTATTGTATACGCAATATATATAAAATTAATATATCAAGTTTAACAATTTTTTTTACATTATAAGAAATTAACGTTTCACGGTTGAGTTAAATTAATATTTATCAACATAAGTAGAGGTAATGTAGAATGGCAAATTAAACTTCAGTTAATCTGCTTAAGCGGTGGTCGAAAAGATTTATCCTTAATGAAAATTAAGAATATATCGTGAAATGGAAATGTATAAATCACAACGAATCGCCGCGGCGCGAAATAATAAGGTAATTATTATATGCTACGATACAGTAGACAGTGAGCTCCGTGTCTTCGATAAGACTCTGAACATGTTTAACGAACTTAACTTTCCAGAATCGTATGGGCATCTAATCATTTCGATAGTACGATACTAGATATAATAAGGAAAATATAATAAAACCGGTTGTGCCACACCGATTAGATAAAGAAACAGCATTATCACAACGCTTTGGTATAAAATTGAGGATGTTATAAAATGTGATCGCGTTTTTTCCTAATCAAAAGGATTTTGTTAAAAGGATTTTGTTAAATCCTTAATCTTCAATTTAAATAAAAAATTGTGTTGCTAATATTATTAGAAATATGTCGCATCTTTCCTGGGTAATATCGATTGATTTTAATTCCATTTTTTAAAGTAAGGAATAGAAATTGAAAGGAAAACTAAAAAATTTTTTAAAACTAAAAAAATAGTTACTATGACTCAATTTTCAAAAACCTTGAATATTTTGTTAATTTCTAAATTAACAATTTAGCCAATTTCTTAATTAGAAGTAATAATAACGAATTTTCATCTTTTTTTGAATTTTTAAATTGGCATTTGTTAAATATCATATTTTCCCTTGTTAATTGAACGAATTTATCGTAAGGGCATAATTTTTCGCAGTCGGGAATGTTAATTTTTTCTATTTCTAATGGTAGAATATCTTCTTTTTCTGATGGAATACCTAAATAACGTAATACTTGCAACAAGCAAATATTATTTCTCAGTTAATTCGTTAGTGATAAATGTTATTTGTATCATCGTGCACTGTAAATAAAAATGAAAAATTTACTTTGACAAAATACTAGCCGTCTTTTTCACATAATTCTATGATAATGCTACTCATATATCGAATACGATCGAATATATTTAAAATATGTAGCAATGCGGCCATATTTACGTCATATACAGAGAAGAGATTAACTTTTCGATCTACGAGACTTCCGTTAATCACGTCATGCATATTGTCAATTATTTTATTTAATAATATATCTGTAAAAGAGTAAACAAACATATTGATGGCATCCATGAAAGCATGTAATATTCTTAAATAATAAGTTAAATCAAGTATGAATGATTTCTTTTAATTAATTAACATAATTATTTTTTTTAAATAAATAATTAGAATTATTTATTTCAAGTCTTCATGATCAAAATTATCTATAATAGTAGTTAGTTCTAGAATGGCGTGCAGTTTGTCATTATTATTGTCAAGAATTTGTTGTATGTTTTAAAATATCGTGATAAAAGTAAAATATTAAGAGTTCTCAGTTGTTTTTTTCTAGTTATATTAGTAAAAACCAAAAAAGAATAAAGTAAGAAACAATAATTAAATGGCATTTATGATTAAAATATATGATATTTACGTACTTCACCGATATAAGATTAACTTTTAATGATTAAATAACTTATAAGCAGTATGTTTTCAATTTAGATGATTTAGACATGCCTCCAGTGCCATTGTTCAAGTGATTGTGACAAAATAATTTATAGAATAAGAGAGCTGCATCCATCAGAGGGCCATCATTCGGAAATATGCTTTTTGTCCACTTAGGTAATTCCCGTTTCATGTAAAATTGCGTATATAAAGTATCATACAATGTGTAGCAAATGGAACAAACTAATTATTAAGGATTGCAAGAGGTTGCTTGATGCATACTATTTCATGAGATAATCTTAGCAATAAAGAGAGATTAACAAAATGATATGATATATCTATGTTGTAGCACACAAATCAAATCTTATCTTAGTCAACACTCCTTTACCAAATGGATACTCATCGTGATTTTTTTGTATGGATCAGTTATATAAGCTTTATTATACCGCCTATGTTCTATGATATCAGCGTGTCGGAATAACTGAAAATTTGAAATTTAAATTAATTTTGCACATGTGCAAAAAGATTTTTTTGTAGTGATTTTCATATCATTACCACGCTGATTAACAGTAATTTCGAATTATCGTCTGTCGTTTCCAGCTCAGAAGTCCTTGACGTCGTTATAAATAAATAGGAATAAAATCAATACGAAATAGGAATAAATCAATACCTAGATAAATGATCTTCGTCATTTTCTAGACTGAACAATGAAAACCAAATTCAAATATCGCGTTATTGTCTACGAAAAAGAAATTTTTGTATATAACAATTACTTACATTATATTTCTTGACAAGTGCTGAAATGACGATACGATGTTAACTTAGCACGATTTTATTCTTAGTCGATCTCAATGTCAATCTTCAAATGTAAATGTACAAATATGTAGCGTTATATTCAAATTGTTCACCTTCCATTACCTTATGTATATTTCGCACAAAGATTTACTATTTACCAATTTATGTTTTTATATATATTCAGTGTATTCTGAGATACAATACAATGTCAATCTAATGATAACTGACTGAACATGCCGAAAAGCGAAATACAAGACATAAGATAATTCATCATTTTCATGATTATCTCGCCTCTCTGTGTTTGATCTTGCACATTTTAGCATCGTAGCATATTCCACGAATGATTATCTTATCGGAAAAGAGAAAAGAAAAAGAAAAAAATGTAAGAGAACGATAAAGATTACGAAGGGAATACAAACGTCACAGATTGAAAAGGAAATGGATGATTCACTCTTATAACACGGTACTGTGACTCTCCTATTGAGTCGGAAGTCCAGAAATCCATTTAGGGATAGAAGAATTCGCTCGAGTGACATGACCGAAACTTCCAGGGCTCTCGATCCAAGCTGCTCGATCGATTTGGCGAATCTGCCTGAGAGACGTTCGACGCGATAATATCGCGAGTTTGCATACATTTCGCTTGTTCTTTTTTTCTCACGTACTTGCTACACGGACTTCTCACGTTTCTCTTTTAAGCGCGTCGTCACGGAGAAAGCTTTCTACGTGTCCTCGTTCACCGACATCGGCTGCCTCCGCCCGCAGGGTTTCCTCGATTTTACGATTTCAACACCATTACGGGCTCTTTCTCTATCTCTCCGTCTTTTTCTCTCTTCCTCCTCCTCTCTCTCTCTCTCTCTCTCTTTCCTAGAAACTGCATCCGTCGATTCTCGTGAGTCTTTACGACAGGAGCAACGGGCTCCGCAAGGATGAAATACGGCCGTAAAAGCCGAGGGACATCTCTCTTCTAACGGGCCCCACCTTGACCACCCCTCTGCCCGCGACATCCCCGCGGCTGTATCATCATCCTTCGACCGTGGCAGGCAGACACACGTTGCTCAACCTTGTACTCCATAACCATTCACGGAAAGCGCAAAAGCCGATGGCGTGCACGTGCGCGCGCTCGGAGAGACTTGAATGACATCCGAACTCGCCGGCGGAGTATGCTAACGTGAGACATCCGTCGTCAAGGATGTCTCGAAACAGCCGCCGGTGGTCTTCTTTCCCGGTGATTATTTAGAAAAGAAGCATGCAGTTACACTTGACAAGGCAAAACTTACAAGAGCGTTTTTCTGCGTTATATCTGAAAAAAGAATCTCCAAAACTCTGATTATTAGATATTACAGCGATACTTCGGTATCTCTATTTAAGGATTACGCATTACACTTATACGTACAGTGAAAAAAATTAGTGAAAAATTACAAATAAAAATGAAAGATTAAAATAACATTTTTATTTACGGAACAAATGATCACTGCATTGCACAGTAGTTTTACCTAAATCATCTTGAATATTTAAAGTATTTATATAAAAAAATTGAAAATTTTACTTCTTAATTACATTACATTTCTATTAAAGCATTTCTACTTATTTATTATAAATAATTGATCCAGGTTTCAAACCACTGCTAAACTTTGTACTATTTTAAATGCGATTTATAATAATCTATAAGTTTCTCATAATTTCTTCATTGTAAATATAAAAATTATAAAAATAAATCTATAAGTAATACACCTTTAAGAGTATTTTGAAGATACTGATTTCTGATACCTGATTTTTTTATATTCTTGATCTTTATCCAAATGTTTGCACGATCTCTCTGGCGTATACAGTTTGAATTAATTCTGTAAGCAAGTAAATATATCTTAATTTAGAGGTAAAAGGAAGAAGAGATGATAATAATAATAATAATAGGTCTAGGGATAATTAACATGAATAAATTGTTCGTGAATTAATTCGGGAGGGACAATTCAATTATCCAATTTATACCAGTCAATAGATTTAGAGTCACTCTTCTCTCGATAACTCACGATAATATTTACGGTGATCACGAGATTTCTTCAAAGAGCGAGGCGTGCTGAGTCGATAGAACGAAAGATAGCCATGTAATCGGCTTTTTTACCGTCTCGCGTTTTATTGTAGCAGTAAATCTAACGCGCAGCGCTATATATCGAAGTCACGGCGATCGTCGGGAATCTCGTTCCGAGAGGCTTCATTAACCCACTTAGACGGAATGGCCGAGAGATTCCGCGGGATTAATTCCGCGCGTTTTCTTGAAACGATGACGAAACGCACCGAGAATCTCGCCGGCTGAATGTCGCCGTCGAAGCTAGGAGCAGGAGTTCCCTTTTTCAGATGTCATTCCTCCTTGCCTGCGATCAACATTCCGCAGCCCTGCCAAGAATGTGCGGTCGACTGCCGTAGGAAAACCGCTACGCGGTCTCCGGTCCGAGCAACCTGCGCTTTCCCGACAAAACCCTCGGAGATAAATCGATCTAATCCTAAATTCTTTTTACGATTGTCTTAAAATCGGAGAAGATTACTCGAGAAGATTAGTCAGGCAGCAGCAGTTTTAATTGCTTCTCCTGCAATTGAAAGCCTGCGAAGAAAGATTACATTTCCTCTTTTCTACCTTCGTTTATTTATCTTTTCAAAATAACCGACGAAAATCACCATCGATTTTCTCATGAAGAGATGTGAAAAATGACGTAGTTAAAATGTCCAAAAAGGAATAAAATCTTGGCATGTATTTATGTAGGAGAAGGGGAGATAAGATGACAATGAAAAAATTGATCATTATTTTTACGTCGATCACGAAGATTAGGAAAACTCGATAAATCTTTGAAGACGTTATTTTACCTCCTCTCCCTATTTAAGAAAATGAAATATGAATTGAATAAAAAAGTGAGATATGAGCAGAGAGAGAACGAGATGAAAATCTATTGGCGAGGGAATTGCGAATTTGCTATCGCGTATATCAAATGAGAAGTCAAGTTAACCACGTCATCTTACGAGCGCAGTCCACGTTGCCATTGCATTTCCACGATGCAGTTACTTTCTTCGAGGGGGCAAGCAGGGGGCCGAGCGGGTATCTTACGGCGCAGTCCGATCCAGTGAATGTCCGTAGGAGTCGCATTCCACGGTAAATGCATTAGAATTGCTATCCCCCCTCCCGTCGACTGACCGCGTCACTTACCGCAACCCCTCGCGAAATTAATTCCCGCGAATGTTTCTATTAGCTCGATCGCGCGGAGACGCGCCGTAGATGCATTCCGCGAACGGCGCCGATAGAACCACGATGATTCTCTTCCGCGGGTAACTTAACTGTGAATCGGAATACGCACGGAAAGGTTTCCCGTTTCGCCTCGGACGGGAAGTCACAACTCGAAGATTTCCATGGACAGCACGGAGAAAACAAGTTTCGCTGGCCAGATCTGGCCAGATCTGAAAATAATTTGGTTGGACCATTAAAATTATCCGACGTATAAATATGATAATAATATTGCAACAATTTTTATTTTTACTAGCAATCAATTTGATTCGTCGAATGCAAAAACCCAACAAAATTACTTTCTTCAGCTTTGTGTCCGTGTCAAATTTTTAGACTTGCCACCAGCAAAACTATTCTACTTAGCAGCTATAATCTTTACAACGTATTATTCGGTGTTAATCCTAAAATTTAATTCTGTGTCGAAATTCTGTGGAAGCGTATAAGACACTTTCAAGATATTTAAATATAAATGTAAATGTAAAAACGAATGATTTCTTTCAAATTCTGCGTTGCATTTGTCGGTTTAGTTTGGGACCATGCGTGGCGCTCGATTATGTAACGACTTGGCGACTCTCTGCTTATGCAAAACGCCCAGCTCGGGTACATTAGGTAATTATCAATTGAGGCGATCGTATTTCATAGGCGGCGACGGCCGGGATCGGGACTCGCAAAATTTAATCTACTCGATCGGGCACGCTTCGGCACAATACCTCAATTAGGGGAGGTCGCGCAAGAGGCCCTTGAGGCGCTTTAAAACCGCGCGCAAATTGCGCGGTCGGGGCCCCATGCGCAACGCGCAAAAAGCGATCGCCGCCGTGGAGAACGGGCCCCCCCTTCCCCCCCCCTCTCCCGCCCGATCGGCCGGTTGAGTTATTTAACGCCGTTGCCCGTTATCGACGCCGTGTGTCTCCCTACACGAGATTTAACCGTACCCCGCATTTTAGCCGACGACGCATAACAGTATCGCATTCTCCGGCGTTTTGTCTGTGCAACCACGGCGCTCTCATTCATTATTCATGCGCCGCTGAAAACTCAACTTGCAACGTGAGTGCACGCGCCTCGGCTTGACGAAAATTCGCTGGCTGGTTTGGTATAGTTGTCCCCCCACCCCTCCCCCTTTAACATTCATCCCCGTCTTCGTTTAACTAACGGATCGTGTCTATATCATAAAGGTAAAAACTCGACGGGAAGATTAGAAGTTGAAAAATATTAAATTTATTTTGTTATGTTGCTCATTTAAAAAACGAAAAATATAGTAGAGGAGAGTAAGTCACCGATACCACTTGTAAAAAACTTACTATTTAAACTAAGAAAAAAAAATTGTAAGAATTTTTGCATTTGAAAAATTTGCTTTCAGTTGATTTTATAAAAATAAGTTATAAATATAATGAATTGTGGATTTTTATTTCTTTAATCATCTAAACAGACTTTTATCAATATTAATGAAATGCAATTTTCAAATTTCAAGAAATAAGAGAATGTCTGGGAGACCTACGTTACTACTCGGCTTTCCTCTGTTAATTGCAAAATATTTATCTCCGAAATAAAATTTGCAGTTTTAATAAATCTTGAAATATTCGGTTAACGAAGCTGATAATAATTAATTATAACGTAATAAGTGCATTGGAAATAGATCGCGACATCGGCCTTCATTAAAAAAGCAGAAGCAATTACTTCATCAAAGGCAATTTTCTTAACGTGTGTCGCTCAGCGACTTGTCACGTCTGCGCTATATTTATCTTATTCCTTTCTTGCGAGACTTCTCGGACCCCATGTGGACGTTTAAAAATATCCTACGGTTAATTTCGCGAAACGCCATTCACCGAATACGCTTTCGGCGCGTACGACGGATGTGATGGAATGGTTGAACGTACTCGGCACTTTTTGCTCGCACTTGAGCTTTAAATTTAATTTACTCGTTCGTTTCATAGAATTCGACGTCTGAATACTCTACATATATATTTTATAGTATAGTGTATACGAATTGAAATTAAACGCAAATGTTACCGGTTTCCTCGTTTCTTATTATAATATTATACTATATATATATATATATATATATATATATATATATGCATATTAATACATAAATGATGATGCGATATGTACTTTATTTACATAATACAATATACATAACATATTTGAGTATAGTTCGTAATTTGTAAATAATACCATGAATTCTTACGAGGGAAAGAATTCAACTGTACTTCCAAATGAATATTCGGTAATTAATACGCTTCGCTGCGTCGCGTTATTGCACACTAGCACGATAGAAAAATGCCCGTATTTACTACTCGAATAAAGTTGCGTGATGATACACTCTATAAACTGTTTCGAGAAAAGATTAAATTTCTAAAAAAAAAAAAAAAAAAATTAACGACAAAGAACGTAATAATACACCAAGTATAATTTAAGCTTATTTCACATTTCACATCTCAGCCTGATTTTCACATTATTATATTTTATTGATTTTATATTTAAGAATTTCGCAAATTTCATTAACATTCTATTAGATTTTGTTTTGCGAGTTGAGTATCTTCTCGAGATATCTTCCTTTCGCATGGCAGCGAGGCAGCGAGCTCTGCATCGTCCGCTCGATCGCGCTTCGCTCCGAATTGTATAATATTTCAGCTCGTGACGCACCGTTGAACAGCGAGCGGTATCGCGTATCGTTGACACTGCATCAGAATTCCAAAGTTAATGACACGTCGACATCGGAGGGGCGGGGGGGAGGGGGGAACAGGGAAGGAGGGCACGATCAGCTGATCGGGCTTGGCTACCGATCGTTGCACCGACAACGCCGGTCGGCGGTATATGTCGCACGTCGTTACGCGAAGCTTCGCTCTATCATTATCGAATGGATACCGCTCGTAGATATATATTATCTTTTCGCTGTTATTATGGGCGAGGCGCATAATGCGCGCGGTAGCCGCAAATTGCACGGTGACAAGCGAACGGGAATACGCTTACCTCCTCCGTGTTCCCCGCCACGTGATCAATTTAGCTTAAGTAGATCATTAGTCGTGCGTCCTGTCCCGTTATCGCACGCGATGAATCACCACCGGAAGGGATTCGTACCTAACTTTTTTAGCTACGATAAATCGACAGTGACATTCCGCGCGCGCCCGCTCAGCCTAATGCATCTTGTTCGCTATTTGTCTCGTCGAAAGGGCCGTCTTCCCGGAAGCGAAGACGTGCATGTGCGAATGCACCTTTGAGAAGATACAGAGCGTATTCATCATAAATAATCGTTGGAAAGGATAAGAAACGTTCTATGTTTAAGAACGTTCTCCTTTCATCTTGATACCTTGAATACATTACAGGACAGTAATGAAGAATGAAAAATCAGATATAAAATTTGATTATTGATTACTTATATCACAAATCACTTGAGGTATATAAATTATTCGAATTTGAATTAAATTGAATTAGATAGAAATCGATTAATTTGGATCCGAATCTTTATGAATTTTCAAATTATTTAAAAATTTTGAGCGGAGAAGAATCAAATGCGAAAATATCTTATAAAAGCATATTATAAGGCAACGTGTGAATTATTCGAATTTCCGAATTAAATAGAATTAGATGGAAGCGATTTAATTGGAATTCGAATCTCTATAATTCGAATTCAAAAATTTTGAATTGAATTCAAATATGAAAATATTGGTAATCTTACAAAACTATATTTCGCTATCTTTGTGCTAAATTTAATCTCATAATAAGTTAGATTTTAATTGGATCAATCCAATTGGACATCATAAATCATACACCTCTACGAGTTTGCTAATGAAAAGTTAAGGAATGAATAAAATTTGACGTAAAAGCTATTTATTTTCCTACTATTACATTAACTTATTAAAACTAACTAATAAAAGCTTAAAAAAGTTATCAATATCTTCATATTAAGAAAACTTAAAACAGCATGTGGTAGATAAATAATGAGATAAGAAATGCAGAAATGACAGTCTCTCTCTCTTCCGTGTGCAGTAATATTTAAAATTCCCTGGCAGGAAATTGAATTCTTATCAACGATTTAATTAAACTAATAGACCAAGCCACTCACTCACTAATCCTTTATCATATTCTATATTTTACATGTCTGAAATATAATACTCGACGTGTAATTTAAATCTGTCTCATCTGTCGTTGCATCTTGAGCTAGAGAAGAAAATTACGATTTAAAATTATTTAAATTAAAATAGCAAAAACCCCGAAATTGATTGAACCGTCCCCCGCTCGGACGTAACGGTGATCGGTACACGTTCTCTTTGTTTTGGATTCTGCGAGCTGTCAGTGCCGCCCCGGCTGACAAACGCCATAATTTTCCATTTCCCAGCGGCCTTGATAGAACTCCTGGCACAAGTGATCGGACCGCATTCCAGCAACCATGCGCGGGAAATGTCAATCGACAGCGTGTGCTGCGATTAATTATAATAAAGCGTAACGAGAAACGCGAGCAGGACTGTCGATCTCATCGATAATTCACGGTTAATATCATCGAGCAAGCGAGATCGCGACTAAGAGAGAGAAAGACAGGGAGGAAGAAGCTACAGTATAAGCCGACAATTTATTTCTTCCAGGAGCCAAATGTAAATTTATTAGGAAGGCGAGCAGTTTCCTTCAACATTATAAAATATTTTTTGATATATTTAGTATATTTTTCAGTATATTATCTTATAATGTGCATGTTACAAAAGCTTTATATTGAGATAAATTTACGTTATTATTACGTTAATCGTTATTATAATATTATTATTACATCATGACATAAAATCAAGTTAAAAATTTTTACTTATATAGAAAAATTTATCAAACATTTTCAGGGGAAATTTCTTTTATTTTAACTTTAAATAATTTTGTTAAATTTTGTTTCAAAAGTGTTATCAAAATAATATTTGTTTGGATACTGCAAAATATAAATCAAAAATATAAATGAAAAAAGATATTGTGTCTTCTTCAAGCGTGTTTTTGATGATGACTTTCCTGACATATTTACTTGCTACGAAGAAAGAACAATTTTCTCTGAAGAGGAAGCGTTTACAAGGATGATCTTCACACGGGTTTCCCATGCATATAAGAACGCGGTACCTACAATTATATCATCAGAGCCTACATCCGCGAGCATTAAGAGGCAACCATTAAAAACACATTGATTATTATCGTGGCATTCTTACTGATCGACAAACGATATTATGGCGCATGTATGATGATCTAATACGTTACTTTCATCATCGACAAGAGATTATCAATAACGAGCCGGTATTCGTGGTTGTTGTCGCTGCCGATTGAAAGTAACAAATGCTACATTATCAATAAGATTCTATTATGCTTGAGTGAATCGCAATGTGACACACACACACACACACACACACACACACACACACACACACACACACACACACACACACACAGCAATTAGTTTCTACCGGCTGTATCAAGCGCGAGAATAATTTTATTGGCATGAAGAAACTCACGAGCGGAATGAGCCCTTAACTATCATCTTTGGAATCCAGTCTCTTCCGTGTTAAGGCTAAATATATCTCTACATAATAAGATTTATAATTTATATTTTTTTTTTTTAGATTTCTATATCGCTATATTTGATCAATAAATTGCAAGTTGCGGTACATGTCACGATGAGACACGGCTCTCATTCGAAAATTGCAAATTGCAATTGTTATGTGTCGAGTTACATCGTGCCGTCTAACTCGGGCTTTACAGATTTAATACAACGATCGGCTTTATTACTTCGCATAATTATGAGATGCATGGCCATAAAACACGAAAGGAGGCCGCGCGGAGAAAAGAGTTGTTGAAAAAAAGTTTCGCCCGTTCCGCATGCTTCTCGATCACGCGGAATAAAATGCAATTATTATTAAATCGCATCACTTGTAATTCATTATACGGTGTGGTCGCATAATTACTTCCGCCAAGCCGACGCTCTCAACGAGATTTTACGCGCCTCGAAATTAATGGTCCGAAATAAATTTCATTCAACCGTCACGTTCGTGACTTAAGCAAAATTAATAGGATCCTCGCGAGAGAGTGGTATTAAGTACCGATGATGTTTATATTCGTTTCTCTTCGGCCGCATGCAACGACATTCAATTATCGAACCCATCGTCATCAAGATTTACGTATCTGACGTAAATCTACACACCATGTACGCACATGTTTCGATGCTTTGAAATTTTGGTTCAACCGTTCATTTAAAAATCAATAAAGTGAATGGTTATTCTTATAGATGGAAAGAACGGCTTTACTGAAATATTCAAAAATTTAGCCAAAGACAGAAAATCTGAAAATAATTTTATTCGGCTATCAAAATTATTATGCAGGACGCGTGAGCATAATAATAATATTATAAAAATTTATTTTATTTTAGCAACTAATTTGAATATCCTACATAATTATTTTTATGATCCAACAAAATTATTTTTAGATCTGACCAAATTTTTAGGCAAATTAGCAAAATCGTATTCCTTTCGTGTAAAATCTATATACTATCGAAGAAAGTTCAAGGAAGAGATGGCAAACTGTACATTTTATTAGCGTCATAAACAAAATGACAAACACATCTAGCGGCTTCCTCAGATTTATAACAAGACTAGATTCTCATTTTATACGACCGTTACGACGCAGCGCCTTGCTGCTCTCGATTACTTAGAATTATGATTATACCGGTGCACCTTTTCTATTTTTATGACTTACTCATCTGTTATTAAAACCTGTCATTTACGCAACCTGCGTCGAGCGCTGCACAGATCAATGCGATAGATCAGAATGTGGATAATCATGTGAATGGCACGTAAACGTTACGGATAAATTATACGGGCGCATTATTCATTCTGATCGATGAGTTTTACGAAAGAACTTAGTCTCGAGACCTCGTAAAGGAGCATATTAGAACGACGAGATTCGAAAGTGGAAAAACTTGAAAAAATATATAATAAATATATACGTTAGTTGTAAAGTTTTGTAAGAAGAAGAGATTTCGAAGAGAATAAAAGAAACCTTGTTTAAATTTTGCCAATATTTTAATTGTATAATATTATAAATGCACATTTTTTATAACATTAAATCTATAAAATCATAATTTTTTAATTTCTAAAAAAAAAGCACAAATATTATTTATTTATTTGATTATTTGAATCGAGATAGCTATCACGATTCGTATTTTTTAACGTGAAAATATTTTTACACCAAAAAAATTTGTTTCATTTAAATTCACTATCTTTTCCAATTTTCTTTTAGCATCCTCGACTTAATTTCAAAAGTTACATTCTCACTTTCAGGTTCGTCTAGAGAGTATTGGTGCAGAAGATATTGTGGACGGTAATCCCAGACTGATTCTCGGTCTCATCTGGACTATAATTCTGAGATTCCAAATTCAAGAGATCGAAATTGATGTGGATGAAGAGAACGACAGCAGCGAGAAGAAATCTGCCAAAGATGCTTTGCTACTCTGGTGCCAGAGAAAGACAAATGGCTATCCCGGCGTTAACATCCAGGACTTTACCGGTGAATTGAGTTCTCCGTCTTGCATACAATTATGTGGCATGAATATTCAAAATATACGAATGTCGCGAAAAGAAGCTTGAGTAAACTTCTGTGATATTTATGGGTGTAGAAAATATTTAGCATAATCTCACAAGCGTATCTTCCGAGCTATAAAAACTTCACTTTTTTAGATGTTTAACAGTATCTATTTATTATAATAAGATAACTGCGAATGATGATATATAAATAAAAATTAAATATTTTTATATGAAGATATATATAGATTAAATGATTTTATATGAAGATAAATTTTAAATATTTTATACGTTGTTACAAATAGGCTCCTGGAGAAGTGGACTTGGTTTCAACGCTCTCATACACGCTCACAGGCCGGATTTGGTCAATTGGTCGGAATTACAGCAAAATAAGAACATCGATAATCTCAATTATGCTTTCGATGTTGCTAATTCAGAACTCGGCATACCGCGGCTGCTGGACGCGGAAGATGTGGATACAGCTAGGCCAGACGAGAAATCCATTATCACCTATGTTGCGTCTTATTATCACACATTCGCCAGGATGAAGAATGAGATAAAAAGCGGCAAAAGAAT